CAAGCACTGGGCACAGTCAGAAGCGCAGGAGGGTGAGAGAATTCACCAGAGCCAGAGCGGGGAACAGAACAGGCAGAACGACCGAAGCACACTGCTGAGGGGAGCAGTGGGCGGCAGGAGAGGTCTGCATGCCACGTGGGACCCTCCTCTGGTGGCCGGGGAGCAGCCGGGGATCGAACCAGTGCTGTAGAGGCTGCGGGCAGCTTCGCAACCCAGCGCTCAACCGCTGCGCCACCGGGGAGGCCCTGTGCTTAGTGTTTTTAATGTGGATTGTTTTGGATTGTTTTGGATCATTTCCTCTCATCTCAAAACAACCCTATCTAATAAGCATTACTGTGATATCCCTATTTTACAAATTAAGAGAGACTTGTATCACCAACCTAATAGATGGATGGGCCAGGATTTGCCTGGTTCCAGAGTCTACCTATTTACAGGGCTGTGTAAGAAGTGAGAAAGTGCAGATGAAATATTTAACAGCATCTGACCTTCAGGAAGTTCTGAGGAAATGTTAGATATTATTACTGATGTTATTTCTTCCCTACCAGGAAACTCTTCCAGCCATTAAAAACAAGCACCCAACAGAACAGAAACAAGCAGGCTTTGTTCTGAAGTTACTGTTGAAATTTTAGCAGGACCATGGTTAGGAGTGAGACAAAGCCACAGCTTTAGCTGAACCTGTGGGAGCAAACTCATCCTGGAGTAGACAGCCCTGGGGGGTCATTAGGGAAAGTATGGAAAAAGGATATGGTCCCCACCCACACCCCACTCCCGCCCCGCTCAAGATACCATCGTCTTACTGCTATTAATAACATATGTGGCCAGGCAATTACAGACCACATATGGATAATCACATCTTGCCTTTCAAAGTTAAATCTGATCACCTCTAGGGTCAAGGAATTCCGAGTTATCACAATGGTTAAAGTCTGTCTTCTAACACTATTTTGGACCAAAGTTCAAGTTCTAGAGGCCTGAAATGTAGTTTATCTTTGTTCTGAAGTATACATGTGTTGTAGTTTTTTGTGCATGAACTGCACCAAAGCTCAGCCTATGGAGGAAGCCCTGATTCCCACACCAGTTTACCTGGTAAATGTTTCTTTTCAGAAAACAAAATCAAGAGGCTTCCCTTCTGCTTTCAGCTCTGCTATAAATCCCTCTGCAGTTCTGAGGGCTTTGTTCATTTGTGAAATTAAGGCAGTCTTCCAATGTTTACTTCTTTGTCTCCCCCACATGACTGAGAGCCCCCTAACAACAGAAATTCTTGTATCAATCATTGAATTCTCAGTGTCTAAAATAGTGTCTGGCATATAGTAGACACTCAACAAAAGCTAAAGGATTGACTCTGAGTTTCCTTCCAGTTACAATGCAACATGAGTCCATAAAATAATAATCTCATGCATTGAGTTGATTCCAATACATGGAGCAGAGAACAAGGGCTTTAAGCTCTCTTATTTTTCTCCACCCACTGTTGAAACAATTTCATCAACATTTCTACCAGAATACATGTAACTTGTACAAATGGATATGAGGTCTGACAAATTTTCCCCTTCTCTGACAATACTGGAAAAGATTTCAACGGGAAGAAACTGAAAGTATCAATTTGAAGTGTCGATGATCAGCAGGTTTTATTTATGCAAGGTGTATCTGCTAGTCATCCCCATCCATAATCAAGAACAGGCCACCCACAGTAGCTATCCCCAAGGCCTCTATGCTTCGCTCCCCTTAGTTCTATGCTGAGCTAACAAGTCTGAAAGCTTCAAATGATATGGCAATCATTCCTGATCTGGAATGGGAAATGACCAAGGAGGACACTGGGTTTTTTGTTTATTTTCATGTACCTCACGTTGGGGTTCTTGGTTGTAAAGACTGCAAACAAATTCTCACCAGATGTGAAGAGAAATTCATTGTAAGAATTTCTGGTCCCATAGATGAAGTGGGATACCACCACTGGTTCAACCACCACCACCTCCACCACCACTGCTATATACTACCTGCCTCTTCAGCACCCCACCAACAGGGTGAACTTTAACTTGTACCCTTGTTTTTGCACTGCCTGCTCCAGATTCAAAGTTCCACACATGAGCATCAAATTGGTCAAAGTGGGTCACACCCCAGCCCTAGCTGCCAGAGAGTGGGAGATGAAGTCTTGTTCACCATTATACTACCAAGGAGTATGAGAAGGTCTTAAGACTCACATAGTAGGGCACATCCCAAATAGAAAGGAGGGCTGCAGGCTGGTCAGCCACAGAAAAATGGCAGGTACCCACTACATCACAGCTCAAAAGCATAGCCTCTGTATACTTTGATAACACATCATTTACAAAGATGGATAAAACCAGTTCCCACAGTCACAAATTCAGCACCCTAAATAGGCCAGGCTCATGATCAATGCACATAAGCTTGTCAGGAATTCTTGTTCTAAAGGTACAAAAGTTAGCAGCCAAAATTAAATTTGAATCAGTTTGCAGTTTCCTGTTACTTTATGAAGGCATTTTAGCAGTTGAGCACTGCATGCTCCTGGGATGTCATAAAATTCTGCAAGCAGTAAAGATTAAATCAAAAGAACTGTCAACTCTTGGTCAAATTCCCATTAACCTGCTAGGAGCCCCCCCCCCCACCACACACACACACACACACACACAAAGAAGCAAGGTGACTCCAGATCTTGCTCCTACTTAGCATGGTTGTTACTCGGAAACTCCAGGAACACAGCTCCCCTGTTGAAGAGCCTCTGGGATGAGGCAAGCTAGATCAAATCCTACTTTAGGGCAGATAGAAGGTTGAGTGGAGGAAGGAACAAGAGCGATGATGGAAGGGAAAGCTTTGCTTAGTGGGAAAAAAAAAAGTTATTCTCAAGGCAATAAACAGGACTGAGACCTGCAGAGGAGCAGGTCTGAATGCAGAGGACAAAACAGAGCTGTGTAAAGGAACAGTCACAGCAGGAGACTGCCTCATCCAAATACAGCAGCAGTAACCCTAGGGAAGGACATAGGAAGAGCCATTTCACTTCCAGCAATCTATTCCACAGATACTTGCACATGTACATAAAGGTGTATTTACAGGGATGCTCACTAAAGCATTATGAACAACCAAACACATACAACAAAACCAACAAGCGGGAAATAATTTCCTTCATAGTTCTATATATTACTGTATAATCATTCTATGAGACATTAAGCACTATTAAGAAAGTGGATATATAAATGGATGTGATCATGTTGCTAAGTGAGAAAAGCAAGAGGCAAAACAATTATTATGATTCCATTTGATTTTAAAAAGAGAAAATACAAATAGGCATATACAAATATGTATATAAATGTTGGAAAGTAATCTTAGAAACCTTGGGAATCAATGAGGTGGGGGAGCCTATTCCTTTGGAATGTTTACCATGTGTGTTCAGCCTATTTATAGCCAAAACAGACTAATGAAAAATGTAAAACTTAAGCATTTTTAATTAGTCATTATCAAACAGGTTGAAGAAAAAAAATCTTTCCCAAGTAAGGCTTCTCCCAGTTAAGAATACTTTCTGCTTGTTCTTTTTTCCTTAATGTTTCTCTGAGCCAGGTCCGATCTCAACTCAGGAGGAGGACCTTGCTCCTACATCTGCCTCCAGCCTGGGCATTTCATCAAGCCCTGAGGGAGGTGAATCAGGAAGAGGCATGTTATGAACCTCACACCACAGCAAGTGCTGCTGAGCGGGGAGTGACCTGCTATCGCCTCCCCACCAAAGAAAAGTGAGTGGTTACTAAAGCATGGCACTAGAGCTGGGGCTACTTGGTGATAAAAGTGGTGATGTTGCTGGGAACAGTGAAGCCCAAGGAAAATGGTTTGGAAACTGAACAGACCTCTAGAGTAGAAAAAATAATCACCAGATTTTATCAATACCCTAGGTGAATTCTTCTTCTGGGTTACCAAAAGCATTTCCCAAAAGAGCCTGTGTTAAAGCTTCCATGAGGAATGGGGATGAGCTTAGCAGAGGCCTCTCCCCCAAAGAGTGAAGGAGCTCTCCCTAACTTCATACTGACAAAAAGGTATGGGACTCACACAAAAGCCTGCAGAAACCTAGCCACGATGCCTGGGCACTGCAATTGGAAGGGAGGACTCTTCCCCACCACGTCGCACCACCCCAAATCCTCCAGGTTTCACTTCCCTACTCTTTTGATCCCAAGGCTGACTCCCATCTGTTCCATACCTGGAAAGTCCAGGATTGAGCCCCATAACTGCCTGCTCCAGGATGACGCAATCTGTAAGGTCCTAATACCAGTCTTTGTGAGACATGTAGACCCCTGTTTGTACACCTCCAAGTCAAGGGAACTCAAGTCCCCAAGAGTGGCCGAGAAAGTCCAGGAGGCACGTGTAGCCAGAAGAGGTTCAGGGTGGCCAGGGCTGGTCGGGAGTCAAAGCTGGTCAAAGCGGGCCCCCTTTGGGCAGTGACAACCAAAATCGACCTGGCTGCAGGCCAAGAACCCTTCACCCTTCCTCCACATTTCACGCAGAAGTGTTGCTGACCCATCTTCCCTGTAACCCCCACAACCACCAGGCTGGAAGGCCAAGCTCAACTTCATCCTCACACCTCCGTACCCCAACCCAGGGAGATCTTGCCCTTGCTGCAACATTAGAATAATGTCCCTCCCACCGTGGGCTTCCCACACGCAGAACCCTTCTCCAGACCCTTGACAGGCAGATTCCTTTGGACTGTTCCCCCAACAGCTCAGGGCCAATCAGTCCTGGGGAGGGGGGACCGATGCAGGGGAGACCTTGCGGCCTGTCCTGAGCAGCAGCCGCCCCAGTCTCTCCCCCGGGCTTTGGGTGCGTGCGGGGCCCAGGAACCCGGGTGCGGCCGCGCCCCCGCCCCTGTGCGCACAAACGCCGGTGGCCGCCAGAACCTTCACCCCGCTGCGTTTGGCGGCCCGATCCCCACTCCGCAGGGGCCCCAGCCCCGAGAGCGGTTTGGCGCGCAGCTCTGTGACCGCCCGGTGCGAGGACAGGACGCCCGGCAGCGGCCGCCTCGGGGCGCGCTGGTTAGGTAGCTGGGGGGACCGGAAGGATGGCGAGGAAGTAGGAGAGGGTTTCCTGAGATGAAAGATTACTTCCGTCCGGGCTCTGGCCTCTCTCTGGAGCCGGAACGCTGGGGGTTGGGCGCGGGGTGCGCGGGGTGCGCGGGGTGCGCGGGGTGCGCGGGGTGCGCGGGGTGCGCGGGGTGCGCGGGGTGCGCGGGGTGCGCGGGTGCGCGGGGTGCGCGGGGTGCGCGGGGTGCGCGGGGTGCGCGGGGTGCGCGGGGGCCGCGCCTTGCCACCTGCAGCGCCCGGGACGGGCGGGACTGGCTCGGCCCGGTCAGGCGCTCACGCAGGGGGTCTTGCAGGTGAGAGTCGAGCGCACTTCCCGGTGCCCACGCCATGGTGGCCAAACAGCGGATCCGGATGGCTAACGAGAAGCACAGCAAAAACATCACCCAGAGGGGGAACGTAGCCAAAACCCTGGTAAGGCGCGACCGGGCGGGGCGGGGCGGCCCGGGCGGGCGGGCGGGCTGCAGACGCTGGGCCGGCCTCCCGGCTCCCCCGCGCCCTGGCCCGCCCCTCGCGGGGTCCCGCAGAGTGGGCTGGGAGAGGGGTGGCCTCGGGGCTGCGGGCTGCGCGGACTCTGCGGTGCGCAGGACCCTGGTTGGTCGTGGCCCACGGGGAGTGGCTGCTGGGGCGAGCGGGGAGGCACGGGAGAGCCTCCCCAGGATGGACGTGGGCCTTTGTCTCTGGGAAAAAGCGAAAGGCACATCCTTGAGGAAACAGTTAAGCCAGTAGGCCCGGAACCTGGTGGATGATACAACATTTGTTGGTTTAATGAGTGAATGAATGAGTGAATAGAGGCAATTTATAATCTCCCCCGCCCAGGCTTCACCTCTTGCGCTCCATCCTCAATAGATGCACATCAGGTTTTCTTTCCCTCGCAATGGTTCCCCAGTATAAGTTGGCAATACAGAATGAGATTCAGACCTATATTTCCCTGCATCCTTCTTTTGCCTCTTCTCCAGTGAAGTCTCTCACCACCAGGCTGAAGTTTAAACACAGCAGTGCTCTTGTTCACCCTGTGCAGTCATCCTATGGTATGGTCCAGAACTTTAGAGACTAGTTTACTGCCAGTCATTCTGTGCCCCCTCCAAACTGCCTTATAAGATCCCTTTTAAGTAAAATCTGTGCTTTCTCCACAGGGGTTTCTTTGAGCCAAGCTGGTTTTCTTCAGAAAATGCCAGACCTGTGATTTTGGAGGTTGTGAGGCTTGCCCCCATGAGTTGTTGGGCAGTGTTGGTCTCCAAGTCTATGAGCAAAGGTGCATAGGATCCTTTATCCCATCATAGTTTAGCTCAGCTGAAGCTTGGGATTTGGCTGGAAAAGCTTGCATTCTTAATGAGGCAATTCCCTTTGACCAGAGAAACTCTGCTGGTTTGATTAAGTGAGCAAAAAACTGAATCTTCAGTCATCACAGCAGAATTCTTGCAAAACCAAGCAGCATTGTGGCACAGAAACCTTAGGCTCAAACTCAACCTTTGCACACAGCTCTAGGCTTTACTTGTGCTTGAAATTCTTTCATTTGGGAATGAAATCATTTCGTTGTGATGGGACAGCAATCTGTCAATGTGCTGTCAGATTGGAGCCATTTTTCACATAGACCTACACTTTCCCTATCTATTTTTCCTCATAAAAAAAAAAAAGTTGCTGAACAAACTGACATTGAGGAACAATTTTTTAATTCAAGGTAAAGCATTCAGGGTCTTAACAAGCCTAGATCACCACCCCCTATGTCAAATACATGAGTGCTTCTTTTTTTTTTAAGATTTATTTATTTATGCATACAGGAACTAGGGTACAGGCCAGAGGTATGGGGGCGTGAGAGGATTCACCAGAGACAGAGTGGGGAACAGAACAGGAAGACTGACTGAAATACACTGCTGAGGGGAGCAGCGGGCGAGGCAGGAGAGGTCTGCTGTACCATCTGGGTAGCTCTATGGCTGGGGATCAAACTCATACTGCAGTGGCTGCGGATAGCTTTGTAGATTGTGTCTTAACCACTTGCGCCACCAGGGAGGCCCACCGGTGGTTCTTTTTAATGAACTAAGAAATCAGAATTCAGTTTGGTTGTTAAGTGACCTCAGTTCACAACCTATCTGACTGCAAAGGTAACAACAAAACAGGAACTAACTGGCAAAGCTGTTTTATCCATTAGACTTGGTAAATTCAGTGCCACTTCTAGTTTTTCGAGACCACAAGAAAATGTTCAGGGCGGGAAACAAAAAATATTGGCTCTAAAATTTAAAAAAATGAAAAATTGGAGGAAAAACTGTCTAAATATCTAGAAAATTTAGTCACCTGCAATCAACTCAACTTTCAAAGCCACATTTAAATTATATTTGATGTACTATTTGAGTGAATTTAATAGGTTCTGATATATCACAGGCTAGACCTTTCAAAAGTGCCTAGGGTTTTTAATGGCTCTGCTAAATTTGTAATGAAAGTTTTTCAAATCAAGCCATTTATGTATGTTTCTTTTCAATTGGTTAGGATGGCTTTTGGTTAATGTTATTCTAAGTGGATTAGTGTCCAAAAAGAAAAATTAATTTCTCTTTCAGAGAGAAACTCTGAATCTCAAATTCCATATTCCCAATATAGGTCAAACATGATTATATTTTGAAATACATAATATTCAAGAAATAACTTGTTCAGATGAAATTCAATAAAGGGGAATGCATAACAACTTCTAATAGAAAATTCAGAGTAAACATTTAGAAAAATAATTCTCCTTTAATTGTATGCAGATGCTTCAGTATTTCATTAATAGCTACAGCTATGAGAGGAATCAATGTTATCTTTCGGGTAGGAGACAAATTCAAGAAATAGAGAATGGAATAAGCATTTCCTCATTATACTCTAGTAAGTTCTTCGGAAAGAAGGAGAAATTTAAATTTCAGAGATCTGTGATCCCCCACTGGTATCTTATCACAGGGAAAACTATACCTTGACATTTTGGAACCTCAGGAAGTAACAGATTCCTATTTGAAATGAACCATGCCATTTGCTGGATTGCTACTGCTTCTTTTAAACCTTTCCCAGGGATACGCAGGTTTAGGTGAGTTGTCCCAGTGAGGATTGTATTGGGCACTTATTCCCCAAAAAGAGTAACCCAAAGCTCTCAGAAAGGGATATATTGGTACTATGATCAGCCAGGTGTTCGTGAGCTCTGAAAGTACCCAAATAATATTGACTCTCTGAGAAACATCGTCAAAAGCGTTTTGTGTGTGTGTGATATGAACTGCAAACTGTGCATGCTGATAATTTGTGTTTTTCTGCAAAAGAAAAATAAAGCACTCCATTTGGTATCTATACTAGACCAATAATTCTTTTACAGGCTTCCGAATTCACTTGTTGTCTTTGCTGGAGACAGAGCTAAATGAATTTTTTATATAGTATTAATGGGATGACAACAACAGAATAAAACTGATTTCTGGTTAACTGTAACAAATTGTTAGGAAACTGATAAAAGAGGATGGGGAAGGGAAATGTCACATTCCTTTCAGATAAACTTATTTAAATAATAACTCTATTATTGATCTGACCTTGACCTAGTCTTAAGTGTCAAGAATGATCTGGTAAAATGCTGGTTGAAGTTATCTTATGCAAGTATGCAAGACTGATCTGTCCTTGTCTGATCAAGAACAACCACCTATTCCTTTGCAGTATGATTTGCCTCCACACAGGAGTGCTAGGCAGAAGCTTTTCCAGGAGACAGATGCGAATGGTTTTAATCCTTAGAGTCCTTAGAGTCCACCTATAAGGGCAGACTACAAAGGCAGTCACTGACTCTTTAATCCATAATTCTCTAGTAAGAGAAATGAAAGGATAATCCTGCCACCAAATAGCAAGTATTAATTTGAAAGAAAAAAAAAAAAAAAAGACAATGTACTTCCCAGACTGGGTCTCTACCTAAGAAATGGTATTTAATGAAACTTGTATGCTTATTCATCCTTGAACAACAATTTGTTGAGGATCTATTATGTGTAAATTCAGTGCCAGGCTTTGCTACACATTGATACATAAAACAGACACAGTGCCTCCCCTTAGGACACTGGCAGTCTAGTGGAGGGACAGATAGCAAAAATTATCACAGGGATAAATATAAAGCTACAAACTGTGAAGAATGCTCTCAAGGAAAAGTAGATGGTGATACCAGTAACAAAGAATCCAAGGCAGAAGAGGGAAGACCCTCTAGGATGTAACAGCTAAACCGAAAGCCAGAGAATTGTTACCTTCTCTGCAATCAAAGTTCTTTTATATAGGTTAACAACCTGTTTTTGGCTCAAACTAATGAGGAAATACTTAGTTTTTTGCTTTTTCCACTCTTACCTTCTCTCCTTTTTTTTTTTTTTTTTTCTTGTGGGACCCTGGCCAGTGGCCGGAGATCAAACTGGCACTGCAGAGGCTGCGGGCAGCCTCGCAACCCAGTGCTCAACCACTGCGCCACCAGGGGAGGCCCACCTTCTCCCTTTTTATTTGAGAAATGCACTATTTTTTCAGATACTTCTCTCAGAAAATAACGGTTTTTCCATGGATTGATTTTAAGGACCACGCCCTTACCTGCATATAGACCTAGGGGTGTGTGCAGAAGGCCATTCTTGTTATGAAGTTTGTGCTTGGGTTTGAGATATGCAAGGTTAGGTGCAGACGTAACAGTCCCCTTCAGCTTCCCAGGCGATGCAGAGATTTCTCCAAAGCCTAAGCTTTATTAAGCCTCCGGGGGTTTATTGCAAAAGGCTGCTTCCCTCAAATCCATTCACAGTTGTGCAGTCTTCTATTGTTCTAAGGATTTCCTCTACACACACTGATTCCATATATATATATATATGCACAGAAAAGGTTTTGAGAAAATGGCTCCCAGTTCACGCCTATAATTTGTGTATTTACACCCCATCTCTCCCCAAAATACTTAAAACCACCAAGTTCACTGAGATACAGGGGTGTTACTGAGGTAACTGGTGAATATTTTTAAACATATATGGATCCTTTACGATTGACTTTATTCATCTCTGCCTTCTGGGTTTGGAGCCTGGGTCTGTCCCATTCACGGTGGAATCCTCAGGTCCTAACGCAGTGCCTAGTAGTGCACAGAAAATGTTTATTGAATGAACGAACTTATCTTCCTTTATCCTGTTCCATTTTAGAGGCCGCAAGAAGAGAAATATCCTGTGGGACCATGGCTGTTGGCACTGTTTGTTTTTGTTGTTTGTGGCTCAGGTATTGTTTTTCCATTGACCTTATACATCCTATCTTCTCTACTGTCCTTCAAAAACACATTTTATTTGCAAGGTAAATTGATGAAAAAAACATTGACCTGAGGTTCAAGTTAATCACAGCCTGAAACCTTAATCTTAAGTGTTTTGATTTACTTACTGTTCCAACAGACCAAATATGGGCAGAGGCGGAACTGATAGGCTATCAAATCACAATCATAAAATGGGTATGCTCAACAATTGACTCCATGTACTTTACAATCCAGCTAAGTCTTTCTGTGAAGACATAGCCTTAAAAGGGTATTAAGAACAGAAAGTGGAACACCTACTTCCCTGTGATAAGTCCACATTCCAGAGAAAGGGAGAGGCTTTATGCCTTAAGAGGAAGCTCTAAGAACAACTAGATCAAACTGAGCCTTTGACCGGAGCCTCCACATACATGAGCATTATCCGTGCCAAGTTCAGACAGCTGCCTTTATGCTCGAGTGCAAGCGCACACATCCATAATGGGGTGAACAAAGGAATTGTGCAATTGTTTGCAACTGAATTCTGGTTTTAGTAGCCTTAGCATGTTCGCCGTGGGTTGGGTCTCTGTAGTACTGATGAGCACAAGGGCTTCAGGTCTCCAGGATTCGCATCCTGTGGCAGGGAAGGTGAGAAGTCCACATCTTCCTGTGAAGGCCTGTCCCTCAAGAAGACATCATTCTGCCCAATGACAAGGATAAAGATAGGTCATTATGCCAATGATGTCATAAAGACATCATTCTGTCCCATGACTAAAGATAGGTCAGTGCCTCTGATCCTTAGATCATTCATCCAAGGAAACACAAGATTTTAGGAGGAAGCATTATTACTGCTTGAAGCTCAGATATTTTAAAGATGATTTGATGTCCCTAGACGAGAATATCTTCCAAAGAAACAAAGCTATGCCACATGTTTCCAAAGATATGTCCTCAAGGGGAAGGCTTTGCTCAATATGGGGGCCCTTCATTACTACCACTTCATCACCATCCTCTGCTGGGATACTTTTGAAGGTGGAGGGATCACTTCTTCAACAGGTCTGTTCCATTTCTTATAGCTCCAAGTTTGTAATAAATATCTCCTCCCTTTGAACCACATTGTGATGTCATCTCAACAGTAATTTAGGTTGAGATTCCTAGAATCACACAAAATGGATTCATTCTTCTCTGAACATCTGGAGACCTCAGATTTTCTAAAAATGACTGCCTGGCACTTCCTTCTACAAAGTAAACTTCCCTAGTTCCCTCAATGGGGTATCATGAGATCTGGTTTCTAGAATCCTCTTCTGCCTATGCTCCATGACTCTTTTAATATGTAACATTTGCAACCCCAGAAGTTGATCTAGAAGTGATGTGACTGCTAGAGAGGCAGTAGGATTGTGACTGTTCTTGATCTTATCACTCTGCTTCTCTTAATATGACCCCAACTTGCAGTTTCTTTTTAACATTCACAGCACATCCTAGATTCACTAGCTAATGACCAGTCTGGCCCCACCAAGTTCTTTGTCACGTAAACCTGCTACAGCCTTCAGAGATGCTTCTAAACCTGCCCACACACCCAAAGTTGTCTCCTCATTACTCGCTGTTTTATTTTATGAGTCATGGCCCTCATTAGCATTTGAAATTATTTAGTTTGCTTACTTATTATCCATTTACTTCTGCAAGGATATAAGCTCAGGGGAGGCAATGTTTATTTTCCACTAAGTGTATAGATCCTTGCAGAGTATTTAGTACATGGTGAGTACTCAGTTTGGCCGGTTGGCTGGATGGATGAATAAAGCCAGATAGTCCCCATGCTGCAAATATCCAACTGACTGCTTTGAGACCTAATATCAATATTTCCATTAAAATTTTATTGTTGATTGTCAGTTGTCTGTCTTTGACAGTGTAGCCATAAAGTCTGGAAACACAGACAACCATACATAATAAATGGCTTAGGGCTATTACATTATAAGGTACACTGTGGTCAGCCACATTTCATGATCTGTCCAGTGTGCTGCTCTTCATTAGAAATGCATAGTCCCAAGTACCGCACACAATTGCAGTGAATACAATGTATTCAAGCAGCTTTTCCACCGGTACCTGCATACTCATCTGTGATGATCTGTCTCTGATTTTCAACCAAAACTGAACAGATAAACAAAAAACATGTGTCTTTAGAATGTGGCAGAAAAATCAAACCCAGTCAATTCTATATAAAAATGTTATCTATGTTTTCTGGCTTTATGGCCAGCCTGTAGACTGTGAAATCTTGAACCTTGAACCTTCTAATTTTCCTCCTTTCCCGGCTTTCTAGTCTCTGAAAGCATATTATACCTCTAAGTCATTGATAAAAGTATAGATTTGGAGAAGCCTACAGAACACAATTACAGACAACTCCCTTCAGGTTGGCTGAACCTCTCAGCAAAACCCATTCAAAGAATCCCCATGCTTGGAGGGTGCCCTGTGTGCCTGGCACTGTGCCGGGTTTGCAAATACAAACCCCTCCAGGGGCGTGCGGGCTTTGAGAGAGGCAGATAATGAAGCTGTCAGTTGTAGGAAGGGAAAGAGCACTAAGATAATGGAGTGCCTAGAATGCTTGGCAAGCCTGGATAAGGGACTGTCTTAGTCCATTCTGGCTATTGTAACAAAAGCCTGCAGACTGGTTGACTTAGAAAGAGCAGAAATATAGAATCATAGTCAGATAAAGAGGCCAGCATGACTGGGAGAGGATCCTCTTCCCAGTCACAGATGTCTCCTTGTTGCCTCATGAGGTGGCCACATGTGTCCCATGGGGGGCAGGGAGATCGCTGAGGTTTCTTTTATGAGAGCGTAATTTCATTCATGGAGCTCCTCCCTCACTTCTTGAATCACCTCACAAAAGCCCCACCTTCTTACACCATCACATTTGGCATTAGGATTCCAAGAATTGGCAGGAGGTGGGGGAAAATAGGAGGGGACACACGTTCAGATCACAGTACAGGGCTAAATCACACTGGGCCTGAGAAAGTTCCCCAGAGGAGGCTTTTGAGCTGAGTTTTGAAGGACAAACATCCAGAAAAGGGTGTGAGGAAGGTTATTCCATGGGGGTGGGCGGGGGAGCGAGAGCGTCATTCTGTGACAAAACAGAGGCTTGAGATAGTCCCCTGGGCTCAAGAACAGGGAAGCCCAATCACAGAACCTGTGAGACTTGTCATGCAGCCCATATTGTCAGAGCCTAAATAGATACAGAACCAGTAGTGTTTTCTCCTGTGACTTCAAGATTCAGTTACTGGGGTCCTCCACAGTCTGTGCCCTTGGGTGGGAGGGTGGGGGGGGGGTTGTGTGTGTGTGTGTGGTGTGTGTGTGTGTGGTGTGTGTGTGTGTGTATACACACGCATGCACACAGGGGGTGGGAGGGAGGGGTGGGATGAAGGGGGAGAGGACAGAGTCACTAGAGCTATTTGAACTAGCATGTTTTTTCCCAAACCTATGATAGTTCTCAATATCCATCCTTTTCAAAGGGCTTTAAAAGCCTCCCTAAATTACATTTTAATTACAATTTTGCCACTCTCATCAGTCCCTATAGTCGGAAGTAGCCCCTAATCTCTTTCCCCTTTGGGTACATTGAGACTTTGCTGACCACAGTGTGTTGGAAACCTCACTGTTACTCTATCTGTGGGTGTGCCCAGGGACCCGGGCTGGCAGCCTGCAGGACCCGCAGATTTGGAATAGAAGTGGCTTTAAGAGAACATGTCACTTATTAGCGTGCCACGTCCTCTCTCCTTCTGTGTTCAGGGTGCTGTGAATGAGGCTTTTTAAATTGTTTCCAGTAAGACCAGTTTACTGTGGTGGAAAGGCTAGGCGGAGACCAGGAGTTGAGTGGCCTTCCTTTCTCTAGCCTCTGTTCATCCTCTGGGAACCAGCGCTCATGACGCCTCAGCAACGGCCTCATCCCTTTTTTAATCATAACTAAAAATAATGCACTATGCTCTTTTTTTGCCAACTTTAGTGATTTTTTGCAAGCCTCAGCTCCAGTCAGGCACTGTTCTCACAGAAATGTGTCAGTCCTCTCAAGGTGTCCTTGGTTCTGTGCCCTTCTATCTCTGCACATGTCCCTTTCTCAAGTGGACATGTAGAAAAACACCATCGCTCTGTCAGCTCTGTGTTCATTGCCACCTCTCTGCGGTTACGATGATTCCCTTCATCTCACAGAGTCTGTCCCTCAGAGTTTCTCCCTTCAGGGTTGCAGACCACAGACTCCAACCTTTCTTTTCTCTACATTTATACAAATGTGATTTCCTCAAGTCAGGCTTCTCTGCTTTACATAATGAGCCTTCTTGGTGTGAGGACGAGTGGACCCCCTTATCACTAGACTCTCACCTCATTCCACTCTCCTAATCCGAAGGGAAGACTCCCCGAATCTGACATCCAGCCTTACCTGCTCCCCTGAGAAACAGGTCCCTGGCATGTCCTGTAGAGAGAGAGAGACCCCCTTTCTGTCCATTCTATGAGGTCACTTTCCTCAAATCTTGAACAAGACAGACCCACATGCCAGACTTCAGTTCGAACTGACCATGTGCCGTGGTATCTATGAGGTCATTTGTCCACGGAGTTCATATTGTTGGTTATTCATATTTTGTATCTTTTTATACAACGCTAAAGAACAATGTGAAATCTAACATTAATGAAGATGCTTATTGATCTAATTCTTTTGAAAGGCCCAGTTGCTTTCCTTACTTTCTTCTCTTAACCCGCTTCCCTAATTGATGATTGGTCGGGTAAAATGTTGTTTTTTTTTGAAGAAAGAGTGCTGTGCCTCGGCTAAGTAAATATTCAGGTCAGACAAGCAATAGGGAATGTACATTTATCTGTTTTCCTACCTCCATTCTGGGAAGGAATTCAAGCTGGTACATATCTAACCACATGCTCGCTCTCGGTTAACCTTTCTCCATTTTATGTAAAAATCATGCTAACAGATCTCCAGGAGGCTCCAGGACGCCTCGGTTATGGGGAGGGATGTCTCACAAACTTTTGATCCCTTCTGTCCAGCTCCTTTCCTGTGCCCTTCCTCATTTTCTGTACATGCTTCTCATGCCAATGTGCTGATAAGAGGGAGATAACAAGGAAGAGGAGCCAGGAGAGCAGCGAGGCTTACAAAGCACAGGCACCCAGAGATCCCAGCACAAATGTGCACTCAGGGAATGCCCACCCCCTCTGTGGAAACGAGATAAGCGGACAGACCTCCTGGGACTAGCCTGCTGGCCCCAGGTCCGAGTCCAGCCCAGCCCTGCTCCTGCCTCCTGCTTAGGTCTGTGGCTGTAACCTCTAATGCATTCCCACTGAGAGGCCGTTGGAGGAGGTTAGCTAAATACAGCTTTCTTCAGAGTAAGTAAAATTCTACTTTCCGTGATTAGGCAAGACACATCTTTGAAACCTGACCAATTGGCAGTGACAGAACAAAAAATCTCAAAAGAGAGGATAGTTTTGAATCTGCCAGATGTGGGCTCAAGGCTTGGCTTTGCTATTTATTAGCTTAATAATCTTGGACAAATTATTAACTATCTCTGTACTGATTTCTTATAGATCAAATAAGGATAATAAGAGCCCCTCTAAAAGTTGTCCTGGCAGTGAATGGTTCCACGGATGGACGTAAGTGCTGGCCTACAGCCTGCAGGGCGGCTTCAGTCACCACATCTCTGTCCCCAGTGCCCTTGGGGAAAATAGTGGCCCCAAGCGTGTGACCTCTATACCTGGGTGCTTCGGCCTTTCATCCTCCCAGGCTGTGCCTTTAATTGGCAGTCTTAGCTGCTCTCCTTGGTCTAGATCTTTCAGAAAGCAGTTGGCCCTGCCTCCTCACTCCAGGGACCAGTGTGAGGAAGTTTAATGATAACACCCTGGGTGTGTCTCCTGAGACTATCTTCTCATGATAAAGCATCAAAATCCTTCAGACTTCTCCCTGCAGTAAAAAGGGAGTACCCACATGCACACTCAAAACTCAGGGAGAGGGGCTTATACTTAAGGTGAATATCAGAAATAAAATACAAGTTTCATTTCCTTAGAGCAACACGAATGCATCACTATTTTGCTACGGAAGTTATCTCTGTGAGATACAAAAGCTTTGGAACAGTGTGTTCTTTGAGACACAAAATTATCCAGATAAGACATCCCAGAGCCACCTCATGCTTTGTTTTGCTTAATTTGGTAACCAGCCTTACTGTAGTTAATATTGTAGACATTCTGTCAGAAATCTCAAACTGTTTCTCAGTCTACCTGTAAGGGGTCCCCTCAGATTATTATTCCAAATGGACCAGAAACTTTTCTTGTTCAAGTCTTGGCCCAGAACTTAGTATTGCTTGAGCCTTTTTAACTGGTTGTGTTTGTCTTTCCTTGGTCTCTTAGGGCCCCAGATCCACACGGAAGCCTTGAGAGACTTTGCCATTCTTTCTCTCCCCTTTTTATAAAAACATTATCTTCCATTTCTGCAGCCAGTGTGGCCTTTTTCCAGATAAACAGCTTCTCCCAGCTCCCTCAGTCCTGGGTTTCAAAACCTGCCTCTTTGGAGAATTGCGTGATAGCTTCTAAAGAGTGCTTGTTTTTATCTTAAGTCTCAGAGACAAGCGTGACCCAGAGTGTGTCTGAGACAGCAAGATGCTGTCATGCTGATACCAAGTGCTATCTTCACGAGACACTTGCAGCCCTGATGTGCTTCCCAGACCAATAATGAAGATAGTCTCTACTGTTTGTGCCCAGAGCTCTCAACCCTTGTTTTTCTCTTTCTTTTGTCTTCAGCTTTTTGAAGAGCCTCATTGAGGATTCTGAGGCCATACCAGAGCTCTGTGGGAAAGTGTGCTGCCATTGATTAGTAATGTCTCTTATGGCCATGGGTACTGACAACAGGCTCGTGTGCTCATTTTTGCCTAACCTTTTTATAACGTTGATGCTGTGATATTCATAAGACAGCTGTCTAAGCATTTTCAACGTTACTCTTTGACTAAAATGCCTCCTGAAACCCTGTAAAATTAGGTTTTTCCCTTCACATGATGGTTATTTCAAATTATTGGTTGTTTAGTCAGCATTTACAAGTTTCTTGTGACCTTGTAGTATTATTTACCTCTTCAGAACCTGGTGAGATGCAACATGTTGACAGAAAGCAGCAATCAGAGCATCCTGCCACATGGTTTTGTCGCAGTACTTACCCCTCATGGAGGTCTCAACTGGGATTAATGGAGCCACTACTTAATTCCCATCATCCCTTGGTCCTCCAAGGAAAACTCTGACATTCCAGCCATGCCTCAGCTCCTCCCTCAAACTATTTAGCCCTAATGTATTTCCAATTCCAATTTTATTCCTCTCCCTGTAGCCAACCTGATATTCATTTCCTAACTAAGGATGATGCAAATTGTAATGGTCACTGAGCCTGGGTATCTTGAGACTGATGAGCTTCTAGCCCCCATCAAAGGGAAACCTCTAGGGCAATAGGATTAGCTAGTGACTCTTATTTTCTTCATGATTTTCTCTATCTTCAGTTTTGTCAGTGAGCATATATTAGATTATATATATTGTCACTGTTGAACTCATAAAAAATTAAGTGTATTTAGAACATCCAGACTAGTGGGGTATAGCTTTTTTCCTTTTTAAGCAGCAGAACTCTGTTTAAATCTTAAGGGGAAACAAATGAAAGAGCAGCTGTTCTGGTTGAAGAAGAAAGAAAGAGAGAAAAAGAAAGAGAAGGAGATACTCCCTATGTTGCTGGATAGCCTGATTTTTTTCATCCCCAGAAGGAATACACATCTGGACCCTCTTTACCCATCAAGTTGGAAATTGTGTCTGGCTCAGAGCTGGCCTGTATTGTGACAGAGTAAATGCCTTTCAGCAAAAAGCCTGCTGGGTTTATCTGGCACCAGGAGTTGTGAGTAGCTGCACTGTTTCTCAGTAGGGATGTTCCCTCTGTCTGTTGGTTAACAGATTGTACTTTTCTCCTGTATCCTCTAGGGATTCTCCAGGGAGGAGAGATAACATGTCCCAGACAGGTCCAGTTTTGAGGGCAACCTTTTCAGAGCAGCTACAAGAAGTGATTCTCTGAGATTGTGGTGGGACTGGGCTCCTGTTCTCCGATCCTCCAGCTGTCTCCCTTCACCTGTGTGCTAGAAGTCTCTATTTCTAGAGCACCCACACACCACCCTCCCCAGAAGGGTGTTTTTGTTAAGGATGATACAGAGAAGGAAAGGAATAAATCTCTCTCTCTCACACACACACATATACACATACAGATATACACATATTCTACTTCGACCAGGACAGCTGCTTTATTTCCCTTTAAGATTTAACGTGCAACTCCAGGTGCCATGGATTTGAAACCTAGGCTCAAAATCTGGCCTGTGTCCCACTTGCTATGTGGTCTCATCCAGGTTTCTCCTGGTCACTCGAACCCTCAGCCCTCCAACTCTTAAAGGGGATGATGCTGGTTACACCTGGGATCTGCATGAAAATTAACCCTGAGGAGTCAGAGAGACCCCGCATTCAAATGTTTAGTAAAGCCACAGTGATGATCTGATGAATGTTTGTTTGCAATTACTGTCAGTATTGTCAACCTTAGTCACACTGTCACACCAGCTCCTGACCTCCCTGGCAAGGTTTTGACCAAGGCTCTGAATGCTTACAAGGAACACAGGATAATATTGTGACCTTTCTGCTGACTTTGCTTTGTGATAGTGAGAAAGCTTGTAGTGGGGAGCAGAACTTTGAGAAAGCAGGAAGCCATGTGAGCCCTGTAGTCCTGGGCAGGTGAGAGTGGGCTTGGGCAGTCAGAAGTCAGTGGTATCACCTCTGTAGGGGAAGTTGGAGCCTCTTCTCTACTTCTAGAGACAACTCTATAAGCTCACCCATGGGGCTAAGCAGGATCTATTCATAGATCTATTTGGGCTGCCTTTCTTGATTATTTTTTTAATGCCAGGCTCTCCACACATTTCCCCTTTGGTCATACAATCCCTCCAAAGACACTTCGGTGCACTCATTTTTCCAGATCCCAAAATTAGGACTCATGGTGGAAATGAGTAAGTGTTCATTTCCAATAAGAGAGCTAGTGTCCAGACTTACACCCTGAACCCATGTGCTTTCTACTCCCCTGTGCTTCTCCTCTTACTACTTCCTACACAGTATAATGGAGCAGAAGTTTCCTCTAGCTTTAGGCCTTGACCTTCACATTGAGTATTGAAAAGAGCCCCTTTTATAACATCCCCAGCACCATTCCCTGCCAAAAAAGGTGTGTTGCCCAGATGTTCCAGATGTGCAGCCATCCTGAGTCTGTTCTCAGATGGATAAAGCCTTGATCAAGTCATGGGCTGCTTCTTGACGTGGCCCCCAGGCCCCCTGATCTCCCTACTCTTTTCTGGACACTTGCTCCAGGACAGACTTGACTTCACCATGTTTGCAGGTCAACCACATAAACACTGGCCTTTCCTGGAGACAACCAGAACCTTTCCAAACTGTGATGCCCAGAGGGAGTCACACCCCTGAGATTGGCAAGTGGGATGTTTGCGGAACTCAGCAGTTCTGGAGAAATTCTTCCATTTCACCATAAAGGAGCCTGAGGACGTGCATCTGCTCTGGAATTCCTTCCTCGGGATCTGAGATGGACAATCTGGAGAAGCTGTCTCAGCAGCCATTGGCATCCTCAAGGTGACCCACGGCCTCCCTTATTATATGCCTCCCTCTGCCTGGGCCCCAGGGAACATTTGGTCTGTAGGGGGTCTCTTTCCCAGAAGAGTGTTTCTGCTGTCTGCCTTTCTAATGTGCATGGAGGGCTTCACCTTCTTGCCTAATAGCATCTACTCTTCCCAGTGCCTTCCTGCCCTCATCTGTCCCTGGCATCTCTCTCTTTTCCCTATTCTTCATCCCTGGAGAAATTACCAGAAAATGGTATTTTGCCTGTGACTTACTTTGTGCTGACACTTTCAGTTTAATGACCCACCTTTAAGGTAGGTCTTATCACCTGACATTTCTTCTTGTCTCTCATGGGGCCTTTGCTTTTCTTGCCAGCTCTTATCTTTTCCTTTTTTAATGAAAAAGAATCGATGTCCTATGATTTCTAGAGTTGTCTTATCCTCCTACAGGATATCCTTCTGGCCTGTCAGTCTTTCTTCTTAGTAACTCCTTGATCTCTCTTATCTTCAGTTATTTATTTTCAATAAAAGTGGCTTTCTGAATCTTATTGTCTGACAGGGTTCCAGCTTCCTGACAGTTTCCTAAGGGACCTACTTGGGTCATCCCTGTCTCCTTTCGACACTCCCAGTTAAGGGGTAGGTCAATCCCCTGGATAAAGGGAATTAGGATGATACCATCCTAGACCTGAAGGTCTTAAGTCCTCGCTAAGGATTGAGTTCTTGGGACATTTAAATCTGAAGGTAATCATTTGATGCTGACTCTTTTTGTTTACAAAGTTATCATTTGAGGTTTTTAAATATGTGTTTTCCTCCATGTGCTTTGCAGTTGTACACTTTTTATCATTCAACAAGTATTTACTGAGAACCTACTATGTACCCAAAGCTGAGCTAGAAGTGGGGTAGAATTCTGAGCAGCAGCATTTATGATACCTGCTTTCCTGGAGCATTTATGATACCTGCTTACAGTCTAGTGGGGAAGAAAGCGGAGTTAAACAAGTCATCGCACTAAAACATGTATGAAAGTGTTTGAAGAAGAGGGATATATCACTATGAGAACACATGATGCAGAGCCATTCTTGGGCAAATGGTTCTAAATGTGGTTCAGACCGTCAGCCTCAGCATCATCTGTGAACTTGTTAGAAATAGACATTCTCCATTCCTACCCCATACTCACTGGATTAGAAACTCTGGGGGTGGTGTCTGTGTTTCTATGTGTCCTCAGGTGATTTTGACTTACATTCAAGGTTGAGAACTCTTTTTTTTTCCCCCAAAGATTTATTTATTTATTTATACAAGAACCAGGTTACAGGCCAGGTCCACAGGAGAGTGAGAGGATTCACCAGAGACAGAGCAGGGAACAGAACAGGCAGACTGACGAAATACACTGCTGAGGGGAGCAGTGGGGGAGACAGGAGAGGTCTGCCCCACCATGTGGGACCCTGGCCGGGTGGCAGGGATCAATCCAGCACTGCAGAGGCTGCAGACAGCTTCACAGCACTGCGCTCAACCACCTGCACCACCAGGGGAGGTCCAAGGTTGAGAACTCTTGTTCCATTTGATCAAAGAAGGCTTCTCTGAAGAAACAACTTTTAAATTCTGAAGAAAAAACAGGCAATAAGATGTGGGGGTGGGGAAAGACTTCAGACAGGAAGAATGGCGTGTGTTAATAAGTCCTGTTGGAAGAGCAAGGTGTGTTTGTTTGAAAACATGAGGGAGCACCCCAAGAAAGGAGAAGAGTGAGAGATAAGTCTGGACAGGTTGATATGAAGGCTTCATCAAGGATTGGGCAATAGGAAACTTTTGATGTGCTTTAAACACAAGAGTGACAATATCTTATTTGTCTTGGTTAAAGAATAATTCTAGCTATGGTATAGAGAAAGAATTTAAATGGAGCAAAAGTAGACCAGTTGAAGGTCACCACAGGTGTCTGGAGAAAGATGATGGTAATCTGAACTTGAGTGATTTTTGAAGGAATGGAGAAAAGGGTGCATAATCAAAAAAATTAAAATCCACAGGTTTGGGGCATTGATGGGACATGTCCAAGATGACCCTGGCAGTTTAGGTTTGCATGGAAGATAATGCCAAGTTTGGCTATGGGAAGAGGGCATGAGAAGGCCCTATTGAGTTCGACATGCCCTTGAGTGATGTGCCACTGTCAACTAATGGTGGAAGCTAATCAACTAATCTAGAGCTTGGAGGAGAGGGGGGGTGCTGAGGACAGACATTGGTGATTCATCAAAAACTAAGTCTCAAAGGAGATTGTGAGGCTGGATGAGGTGGCCCAGGGAGAATGTAATGAAGAGAAGCCAGAGTGCTCATTGGAGATCTTTGGTCTTCTTGTCAAATGATCAGATGGAAAAGGAAAACTCCACAAGAAACATTTAGAGCTAAGAGCCAACAAGAAGGAAACTAGAAACTAGAAGATAGTGTCACAGTGGCCAAAAGAGAAGACAGCTTCAAAGAGGCAGTGCTCTACAAGGGTAAGTAGGGAGGCAAGCGAGGCACAGGCTGAAGCACACCTGTTGGATCCAGTGATGGGGAAGACGAGTTGTGAATTTAGCAAGAGATGTTTCAATGGAGCGAAGAGAGCAGCAGCTCGAATGACATTAAGGTGGTAATAGGTCAGGAAATACCTTTTGGGAAATGGTTGGAAAGAGGAAGAGAGGACACTTGGTGATGGAAGATGTGGAATCAAGTTTGTTCTGGTTTGTTTGATTTTTGAACGGAAGTGGTTCTGGCATGGTAAAACCTAAGGATTTCATTGAGAGGTTGAATAAGAGAGAGACATGATCCTCTGAGGTTACCAACGGCCAGGATCCTAAACACAGAACAGTGAGTGAGGAGCCCATGGGTGCTGTGCTTGCCGCTCCCGCCTGAATTCCTCTGACCCCAAAGCCAGGCCCCCTGACCTAGAATGCCTGTGCCCTCCCTTTCTTAGCATCTCTCCTCCCTGCTGTCTCGCCTGCCCACAACCCCTTTCCTCCAGGCTGCTCAGCTGTTTTCTCAGCTTTGTTCACCCACTGTTAAATTATTAACTTGTCAGGGTCTGGACTCCCCACTTCCTTTCCCACTTTGAACCTGCTGTTGGCGTCCATCTTGTTCGCAGCCTCAGGAAGTCAGCACTTGGAACACTGGCCTGACTCTGCGGGTCACTGTTGGCAGGCGCCCAGAATTACCATTAATATAACTGGCAGAAGATACTGAAGACTGCTTAAAAATAGTGATACAACTGAAAAAGGAATGAGAAGTGCAACCATCTCTTCCTTGTCTTAGATGCAGAAGCAAATGAACCTAAAATAGAATTGATTAAATTTCTCCAAGTAGGTTCAGTTTTAAAGGGTCACCAGTAAACATCTTTAAAGACCATCAGATTTTTTGCATGTCAATTCATGAATTCAATTAGGGTCAGGAATGATCTTTAATTCGTTCTTAAAACAGACTCAGGCACAGGTAAGCTCATGTTAATGTTGCTGGTCTGAGACAAGCAAATTTCATCTAAGATTCTTAAGAGAAATTCACAGCAGTTGCTTAAAAACAATGGAGTGGTTTATCATTACCTGCCACTCCCAAAGTCATGAATTAGCTTAATGGGGTGTGATGGATTAAGGCACAGACTGTTTCCTATTTGTTGACCTACATCCCACTGATAATGATTTCTTGTCTAGGGACACAACTAAAGGAGAAATAACATTTTGAGCATCTATTATGGGGAGATCTTTTACTTATATCATCATATTTATTCCTAGCCATCCTTTGAGGTACATTATCTAGTTTTACAAATAGTGAAATCATGGCTCAGAACTGCTTAATAAATTCCCTATCCCCATGCCTCTAGTGGGTGGGAGTTGTGCTTGTATTCTGATCTCTGTGCTCACACGTGGAGAAGCAGCCAGCACTGGGGAAGTGACAGTCATAGACGGAACAGCAGTAGCTCCCATGCACAGTGCCCTGCCCTGGGAGGCGCTCGTGTGTGGCCTATCATCTAATCCCCGTAACAACGCTGTAGAAGGTGAAACAGGCTCCAAGAGGTTAAATTATTCATCCAGTCACACAGCTCTTCACTGAAGAATTAGAATTCCAACTTACTTCCATCTGACCCTAACATTCTGTTCTAAAATAAGCTTGTTTATCAAAATTAGGGATGTTTCCATGACCCCAAGAACAAAAGCCTGATGTAAATAGATGTAAATTTCTTTCCTAATGGTTTTGAATATACAACTGCCTCTCAGCACTCCTGTTGAGGCAGAATACAGAATGCTTATTTAATTTTTATTCTTTATAAGCCTTAGGGGGCTGAGAAGATAGAAACACCAGCTATTTTGCAAGTTTATACATTTTGGTAAGATACTTTTCCATCTACCAAGCAGCTTCTCCTGTCAAAACCCACCCAAAAATCCAGACTAAGCAAGAAAACCTCTGCACACAACCAGAATCAAATAATGCAAGTAGTTGAGTTCACTCTACTGTGTCTAAAGAATCCTCCGACATTCACGCTGAACTGGTTTCCTGTAATTTTACAGATAATTCTTTGTATTCATCTTCGTCTACAGCAATAGAAGAGAGCCCACTGCATATTGCTGTAATAATATCATAGATGTGACCAGAAATAATAAATTGAAGCCAAAAAAGATGATAAGAAACAGAAGCAAGTACCCGGAGCTATTCTGGTGTCAGATCAAACGCCACACATCCTCCGTGACCATGTCACTTTATTGCTTCTCATTATAGTCACACTGAACATTCTTGAAAAGTTAACATTAAATCACGTTTGGTGTTTATCCAATTTAGGGAACTAGCGGTGTGTGCCATGATTTTTTAAGGGGGAAAAAAACATCAAACCTGCATTTATTGATGTTTTATCGACCCTTCAAATCTAGCTGTCCAAGAAAGATTCCCCAGGACCTCTTTGTTACTTTTCTTTGTATCCCCTGAACACGGTGCCTGGCGCAGAGTATGTGCTCACTAAACTTAGCTGGTAAAATAGCCAATGATTTGTTTCCTGAGGATCCCAGGAGCCTGTTCCACATAGGGAGCCTGTGGTCAGCTAGGAGGAGGCCCTCCTGCATCTATTCTAGGATGGCCTTGTAAAGGAGAAAGGGGTGGGATCCCGAGAGCTCAGTATCTATTCTAGTTTTACTCCTGGTTAAATGAGATGACATCCAGTCTCCCCTCAAAACAAACAAAATGCGCTATAGGCCATTAGGCCAACATTATGGCCGTCTTCATCAACATTGACCAATGCTGCCTGCTGGGGAGAATTAAAAATGAAATTGGAACTCTGCTCTCCACATTGAAACCCAACAGATAAAACTGACTGGAAACCATCACCAAAATCATTGAGGGTCCCAGAAATTCCTTGTGGGCTCACAGGCTACCAGCTCCCTCGACATAACAGGCAAAAACCTCAGCATTTTGGAAAGTCACAGACTGCAGAAGATTCGTTAGCATCAGGGGTTACTGGCAGCCAGGGGCCCCAGCGTCCTGTGTCTGCTCCACGCACCCGGCCTCCCTTGACCGCGCAGGGGCTGGTTGCTTTCCAGATCACAGCCATTTTGAAAAAGGCAGCTGACCTGTAAAATGAACACCGTGCCTGCAAAAATCCCTGTGCCTCTCTCCCCAGCAGAAGCAGAGTTCTAGGGAAGGGGGCCAAATCTCTCAGGGCCTCAGGGGGTCCTGGCTCCCACTCCTGGAGGAATTAGCACAAGTTATCTATAAATCCCCGTGGTACCCATCAGGAGACAGAGCTTTCAAAGAAGTTCACTGACCTCTTGTTAACTTAACTCCTTGTTAGGAAATATCTAATCAGCTGTGTGCTAACATGGGGGGAGCGGGCAGGGGTCAGCAGAAGCAGGGCTCACTGTGGGGTGGGCTTCCAGCTGTGTGCTGTCTGCTGTCTGAGCTGTCTGTTTTGTTTTTCCCTTTCAGCTATCTTCCAGATCATTCAGAGCATAAGGATGGGCATGTGAGGCGGCCCCCTCCCGCTGGAGGGTGGAGGACCACTTAAGCTTTTAGCCGGGTTTCTGTGGGAAGAAAACAAGCCACACAGAATAGAAAGGAGGCTCCCTCAATTGTTCCCTGATCACTTCATCGTGGATGTCAGGCCAAATTGCCTTCTCACAGGACATCTTGGTACATCCGTGTTCTCAAGCGGAAAGGACATTTTGCTTTGCTGTTGGCAGGGTTGGAGTTCCCGGGGTGTCTGCAGCCTTGCGCTCCGTTTGCTTTTTCCCTTGGTTTCACTCATGTTTGCATGTGGCCCTCTGAACGATCACGGCTTTACGTCCCATGGATACAGTCTCTCCTCCATTGGGAATTGGTTTTACAAATAAATGTCTTTCTTCAACCTTACGCCATGTGTGGGTTACCGTGAGAATACCGAAGTCAGGAAAACGTCAGTGGGCCTCTCGGGGGTAGGGGACTTGGTTATGCAATTGGGTAAAGGTCAGGGAGTCTGTGGGCTGGAACTGAGGGGAGATTTACTTAGTAGGGCCCTGCTGACCCCCAAGACCTTGGTCTGAAACTGTGGGCACTGCAAGCGCTTTGGGTTTTACACACATTTGACATTTTTTTCTTTACTGTTCTCTTTTTGGAGTATTTTGGGTTTCTGCTATTGCTGTTTTTTCTTTTTAACCCAGAAAAGGCACCCACAATGTATATTAAGGTTTCGTTAGTTACCGCCTCTGCAGATTCCCTCAGGGCTTGGTATAGAGCAGGAGTCTGAGGTCTCTTTGTGAAAACTGTCCAGCCTCCTCACACAGCGTGGGGCAGGCAGGAGCCCTGCATCTTCTGGGTGGTCAGCCAGGAGCACAGTCGGGTGAGGCCCAGGGCTTCCTGGTCAGCCTTCTCCAGCCTCTCAAACTATGGTCTGCCTGTGTGGGCCTCTCAGTGTGAGGGGAGCTGCCTCTGAGATACAGACTCGGGGATTCCACCTCAAGCCTGCTACACCCAAATCACTGCAGATGGAACTAAGAATGCACCCAGGTGAAGCTTAGGCACTCTACATTTTGAGAACCACAATGCCAAGGAAGTCCAGCTAAATGGGGAGGAAGACTTCATCCCATTCCCAAGAAGCCATGGCATCTGAAACATGCTCTCAAGCAAAGCCTATCCTGGCAGGGACAGGCTGAGATGTGGCCTGGCTCTTCGTTCGGTTTCTGCTATGGATTAAGGAAGTAGTAGAGTCAGCCGCAGACAACCCCCATGGGATTAATGATGTTTGCCATGCAGCTTTAAACAGGCCTTTGTTTCTTTTGGAAATTCCATCTTTGCCTGTTTGGCAGTTGCTTTTCCATCCTTTAATATTGTGCAAGCCTTAAAAATGAAAGTGGCAGGAAAAAAAAATGTAAGTGGCAGAAGAGAACAGGACCTCTCTCTACCACTTCAGGGGTGTGGTTTTAAGTGGCATATTTGCATACTTGGAAATAGGGGGCAGGGCCTCTTCCTCCCTGGAGTCTTTCACCCCAAACTCTTAATGATGTTCCTCAGGCTTTCTTGTCTCTCATCTTCCCAGCTTCCCTCGAGAAGTACTCCTCTCTCCTCCTTTCTTTCCCACTAAGAGAAGGTACAGGGCTGGTCCAGTGTTAGCAGCCCCAGGGACAGGATGGCACCCTTGTGCTCCCCACGACTCACACCCCACCCTCCCAGGGCAGACATTTCCACCATGGAGGGCCACGCACAATAGCTGCCTACCAGCTGGCCCTCATCCTGCCGGCGCTCTCTGCCTCTCCTCTCCCACGTCACAGAGTAAGACCAGTGTACTGTGAAGGACCAGGCCCCTGGCTGTCTGCCCAGAGACTGGGAGAAGAAGGGCCCCTGACACAGGATTAACTGCTCTGTGCTCCCACACGCCCTCTCTGACTCCTACGCTGCCCAGACTTGATCTGAATCTGGGCCTCTCTTTCTCCCCTAATGCCAATAAAAGCACACCTACCAAACCATCTTGAAAGGCCATCGCTGGCGTGAGCTTTGTGGTTCCTCCTTATTGAAGAGAGTCTTTCTCCCTCCTAATTTGCTCTTTCCCACAGCAGTCAATAGGGTGATCATCCCCATTTCTAGGAAAGGGAAACTGAAATTTGGCCAGACGAGGCTCCAGATAAACCCAACTGTCCCCAGGTGAAAGGTGTGATGGGTTGAATCAGCTGCCATCTGAAGAACTTCCTGTGATTGATTTACCTGCCCAGAGTATGCGACATCCACTAGTCGATTTTCCATTAGTTTCCAGGTAGCCACCGTGAAGGGCTCCTGCGTGCCAGCCAGCCCTGTGTGGTGACTTCTGTCAGTCCTCTGCAAGCAAAGCCTGCAGCTGCCCTAAGTAACTTAGAGTCATGACTGATTTCTGCTTCCAGCAGAGACTTACCAGCATGTCCACCATGACACAGTAAGAAATACTTGGCAACCCATTGCACAACACACCCGCCGAAACAAGATTACAAAACAACACTATCCTACTTAACAAGCCCTACACTCTGATTTTTTTCTGCTCTATTTAATTTTTTTAGTGCTAGTTGCATCCTCCTTGACTGATTTATAACCCATGGATAGGCTCCAACCCACAGTTTGAAAAATACAGTGGAAAAAAGCCCCTGTGGGAGACAGACAAGCAGGCCTCATAAGCTAAGGAAGTTTGGGTCCCACTTTGCATCTTGGTGAGAACCTGATGTCACAAAGCACAATCCACAATCCTCCAGTGGCACAGAAGCAACTTCTTTGGGGATTCAAGGTGCAGTGGCAGATCCTGCAAAGAAAGTCCCACCTTGAAGCCCCTGGGACAGTGTGAAATAAGCACCAGGTCCCATTTGTCAGTGTTGACTCTGCTCATCTCCATCACTTGGACTGGGGCTGGGTTGTTGTTTCTTTTTTAAGCAGAAATTCAATCAAGGGCCCGCTGAGAATCCAACTCCCTGGAGAGGGACTTGTGTTTGTTTGGTTTTTCTAAAGATTTATTTATTTATACAAGAACCAGGGTGCAGGCCAGATGTGCGGGAGGGTGAGAGGATTCACCAGAGACAGAGCGGGGAACAGAACAGGCAGACCGATGAAATACACTGCTGAGGGGAGCAGCAGGTGCGACAGGAGAGGTCTGCCACACCATGTGAGACCCTTGCCGGCCGACCAGGATTGAACCCGTGCTGCAGAGGCTACGGACAGCTTCACAGCATGGTGCTCAACGGCCTGCGCCACCAGGGGAGGCCCGGGACTTGTATTTGTTAAATATTCAGGTGATTCTGATAGTGCCCATCCACCAATTAGCATTTCAGAACCAATTCACCCGCACTTACTTTACAATAAAGCAGAGACCCAGAGGTAAAACCCCCAAGCCTAGTACTACATCAGCTCTATCACAAGTTTTTAACTCAGATATTTTAAACATTTGGGGGCCGTGTTCCATACAGCACAGGGATGACAAGACATGATGTCTCCCTTTGCTCCAGATCTTATGTGTCTTTGTCATTATGAGTAGACCACAGGTACTTCATACCTGACTTAAAGTTCTATAGGAGAGAAAAGTAACACTACGGAGGGGCTTTCTGGGTCCCCACCCTCCAGGGCATACTCAGGACAACACTGACTGGGAAGGCAGCTCGGAGGGCTGTTCAGAAGGAAAGGGAATGCGCCTACACCAGGCACGTCAGCGGCCCTTTGTTATAAAGCAGTTCTCATCCTGTGCTGACATGAGAACACTGAAGGCAGTAATCCCTGAAGTTATTCCACACCTGTTTCCCACAGCTTTGGAGGCAAAATATCCTTTGGGTGATGCTCTTTATCCTCCACAAGGTCTCACCAGGTCTCAGATGCAAATTGTGAAGCACACTGATCACTCTCAGCCGCGGGCTCCTTTCTTTGAAAAATCTCTAAGTCCTTGGACTCCATCTGCCAGTCGTGGTCTGACTTCCCCTCTAGGGTTCAGCCAAGTTACCCAGTGGAAGGCCAGATAGTAAATCCTTTAGGCTTTACCAGACTGCTCAGCTGTGCCGCTGCAGCATGAAAGGAGTCTTAGATAATATGGAGACACATGGACTAGCTATGTCCCAATAAACTTTTTTTTAATACAAGTGGTTTTTTTAAACTATGGTTCTCGCAGAACCATAGTTTATTGACCCCTGCCCTAGAGCAGGTCCTCAATCAGGGTTCCTCCTGCCTCCAGCCTCATCAGCTTCATGGGAACCTTTAGAAATGTAAATTCTCGGGCCTCCCCTGGTGGCGCAGCAGCCGAGGGCTGGGTTGCGAAGCTGTCCGCAGCCTCTGCAGCCTCTGCAGCGCCGGTTCAATCCCTGCCTGCCGGGCAAGGGTCCCACATGGCGCGCAGACCTCTCCTGCCACCCGCTGCTCCCCTCAGCAGTGTACTTCAGTCCTTCTACCTGTTCTGCTCCCCGCTCTGGCTCTGGTGAATTCTCTCACCCTCCCGCGCTTCTGACTGTACCCAGTGCTGTATAAATAAATATATCTTTAAAAAAAGAAAAAACAAAAAATAAAAAAAAACTTTAAAAAAAAAGAAATGTAAATTCTCAGGGCCCCTCCAGACCGACTGAATCTGACCTCTAGTGGGGGAGGCCAAGCAATCAGGGTTTTAAAAGCCTTCCAGGTCCTGCTCCTGCAAGCTCAAGTTTGAGAACCACTGCTCCTGGACCCCTGCCAAACCTGTCTGCTCGGGTCAGCCATCCCTTCATCCTTCACAAACATCCCTCTGCTTAGTACTTAACCAACCTGCTTGTTTTGCTTCCTGCTTGTTTCATGCCCATATTTTGTCTCCCAGTTAGACTGAACACCCCTGGACGGTTGACTCTGTGCCTTTGACTTGTGTCTCCAGATAAAACATTTAATAAAGGTAGGAAAGGCCTGTCTCTCAGAAAAGATATTTATGCACAAAATCTTCAGCCCACAATTCATTTTTCAAAACTACACACAAAGTGCCTGCTGTGCGCCACAGACTGTTTTCAACCAGCAAGTCCCTACTCTCATGGAACTTACATTCTACCGGGGGGAGGCGTAATAAACACATCCACATCAATACGCACAAAAATGTAAAGCGAGGGGACATGACGGTGATTGCTGGGGTGGGTGGGTTGTAAACAGCGTGATCTGAGAAATCCTGCAAGAGTCCGCTGTGTTTTTTATGACCTAAAAGTAAACATGTAGGATGTTTTATATCATCCTCTTTGTAGGTAGAGCTGCAACGGGACTCACCTCATTTGAGGAGTTGAGATAGAAAGAGCTATGCCGCAGTACCAACAGGGAACGCCCACTTAGCACAATAAGCTTGCACTTACCTCCCTATCAGGGTCCCTGCAGGCAGGGGAGAGCTTCCTTTCCAGAAGGTCTTGGGGGCCCAGGTTCCCCGC